AGCCGGCCCGGCTGGAGGGGCTGCGCCGCGCGGAGAGGGGGCTGGGCCCCCGCGGCCGGGCGCAGGCCCCAGGCTTCCCCCAGCCCCGGAATGGTCTGCCCTGTAGGAAACGCACACGCTCCACTATTGTCTCATCAGCACAAAGTTCTGCCACACTGCGGGGAAAGTCTGGAGGCTCGCGATGACTCAGACGCAGATAATTCTTCCCCTCATAGCACTGAATCACGATCCCAGTGGCTAGTTGTCACCCCTTTTCTCAAGGACTAACGCTGCCGCAGATCCAGTTACGGGAAGCTGTTTACGCACACACACACGGATACACACACACGCACGCATCCATACGTGCAGACGTGTTGGAGATGCATTTTCAGCCGACTTAGGCACCTGAGCACTAAGCCTCGAATCCAGATTTCTACGTGGGTATCTTTCCGGGGGTCCCAGTTGGGTGTGCGTTGCAAATGGCTTAGGGTGTGCGTTTCATTAAACTTCCTGGTAAATGCGTTTGGGGGTATTCAGACGCAGAGTATCAATAGATTAAGTCCTGAATCAAGATCAAAGGGGTCCCCCTGGAGAGACTTTAGAACGAAGATTCTGCTGTAGGGCAATTTAAAAATGACTGTTGTTTTTATGTTTATTTTGATCCTTGAAAAGTTCAACTCTAATTTTTCTGTTTTTCAAACTTCATTTCTTCACCCCAGCTCCTCTCCGTGGGCCGTAGTTAGTTGCAATAAGTTGAGTCTGGGAATAGAAATCCCAATTTGACTCCAAGTAGCACCAATGGTACCCGGCGGGGGTGGAGGTGGGGGGTTGCTGCAGAAAGGGAAGGGGCGGGGGTACCGGTTGGAGGAGAAGCGGGAGAGGAGAAGGAACCGGGAGGGTTAGAGGGAGGGGGAGCGCGCCCCTGCATCGGTGATGACGTAGACCGAGGGAGCCGTGGCCTGCGGAGGGTAACGCAGTCTTCTCCCACCGCACTTCTGGCCACATGGTTCTCCTCTCCTCCGGATAACTCCGCAGTGGAGATGGATTCCGTCCAAGACTCCGACGTAGCCCCGCTCGACAATCAGCGCTGCAGTCCAGGCGTTACCTTCCGCTGTGGCATTTCTCTCCGTGCCTAACGCTCGCTAACGTTCACTGCTGATGCAGCTCCGGGCCTCTCCAACTTATGGCATTTACAACAGAAACTCCTACAGAAGAGCTCAAGGGAGGAGCTTGTGCCTGCAAAGCTGGAGTCCCAGACACACGGGCCATTCTGCGTGTGTATGATGTGCGTGTGTGATGTATGTCTGTGTGCATGTGTGCGGTGTGTGTGTGTGTTTCGATGGAGGAAGGGGGGAGTAGAGAGACAGGGAGCAAGAGGGGTGAGCACCTTTGCGAGAAGAATCTGCGAATCATAAAACACATAACATGTAAGCTCCCTGTGATTAATGATCTGCACTAATTTGGATAGCAGGCATGGTAAAGGTCATTGACAATTGTTGCTGGTTTCAGCATGAATGCCTAAGTGGGATGTATTCTTGAACAATCAAATTTAAGTCTACTTCAGTGAAAAGGATTGATGTGCCCACAATTCATTACAATACACAGTAAAATTGCACAAATAAAAGTATCCCCCAATTCAACTAATTACATGAATATAAATGGCATATGTAGACATAGATTTATTATCACATATATAAGTATGCACCCACAAAGAGATTAAAATTTACATACTTGAAATTTTAATGGTTTTTTGTAGTATTTTGGAATGATTTGAGTGGATGATAAAAATCTACTACCTTCATCTGCATTCTTGGGTCCATTTAAGACTACAGTATCGCACTAATAACTTCCATGTGTTGAAAATTAACTTAGATCAACAAACAATGAGCAAAACTTCCACACTCCGCATAAAGTTGTGATTTTCATGACTTGCCTCCTTTCTCTGGCCTGCTTATCATGTGATTTTACTCAGGTCTATGGCTGTTCCGAGATGATGTTGTGCTTTAAAAGATTTCCTTTCTTCCATGTTTCTCCTACAATGCATGCAGAATCTGAGAACGTAATTTGAGAGATGGGCAAGGGTTACATTCTGGAAAATGGCAGCTTGAAAGTCAGCATGGTTTTATTACTGGTGAGAGCACCGTTCATGACAGGAGAAATGTGTTTACATTATCTGTACCCAAAGTCACTGGTTGTTGTTGGTTTGTCGACTCACTATTATTAGCTGGCTCCAGGAAAAAAAAAAGGTATAAAAACAAAATATTTAATGAGGTCCCATACTATTCCCTTAGCATTGCCAGAATTTCAGTTTGATATCTTCAAACATTGAAAGTAGACATTAAAGGGCCGGCTCCGTGGCTTAGCGGTTAAGTGCGCGCGCTCTGATGCTGGCGGCCCGGGTTCGGATCCCGGGAGTGCCCTGAGGCACCACTTCTCCGTCCAACGTGAGGCCGGGTCCCACGTACAGCAACTGGAAGGATGTGAACCTATGACATACAACTATCTACTGGGGCTTTGGGGGGAAAAAACTGAATAAATAAAATCTTTAAAAAAAAAAAAAAAAAAAAGTAGACATTAAAGATTAAGGACTGTTTCTGCACAAAATACTAATCCCTAAAATCCCCCAGGAGAGGTTCTCCTATTTTGAAATGTTTAGGTAAATTACAATATTTGGGTAGAGAATAGTCAGCAATATTAACAGATTAATGGTTGAATATATATGTGGCTATTTATAATAGACAATAATTCTGGCTAATGAAGTAGATTGAACGAGAAAATATATTTTCCCTAGTTATTGTCTAATGAATTATTTGTTCAGCATTTGGGACTCTGCTCCTTCAAAAGCTAAGGAAAATGGCATTTTAGTGAAACTGTTCAGTGGCTTGTCTGGACAACTTAGGCGACGCCTGATGGGTAGACATTTAGATAAGAAAGGTTCTGAGGGGTCGCATTATAGAATAGCTAAGACTAAAAAACAAACCAAAAGAACCCCCCAAAAAGGCCTCATCTGTCTGAAAGCTGGAAGTGAAACTCTCTGAACTATGGTATGAAATCCAAGACAAACTAAAAAATATTTATTAAATATGCATGCTTAAAAATGTAAGTGCACTACTTAGTAAATATTTCATATTAATTCTATCTCTTTGTGAATTTATTAGGATTTTCTGAATTATATCTGAGAAAGGAGAATGACATTATGCACCTAAATCTAGGGGCAATCTTTAGCTCTCTGAACAGGCTTAAATTGACATTTCAGAGTGGATTAGGGATGAATATGAATTAAATTGTCAATAAGTATTCCTAGGTAAAGACTCTCTTAGGACAGTATAGCTGCCCACTGCCTTCATATTATTTGGAGCAGTAACCATTTCATGTGTAAATAGAAACTGGCTATTTATTTCATCACCAACGGTTTCGAAAGTATTACCCCAATCCTAACTTGCTTTTCTTTCCTAAAATCTTTCGTTTTCACAGAACGTGGAAACTCAGAGAATGCACTGTATTCAGATGCTGGAGGAAGGGACCTCGCAGGTCAGCATGAGTGTATCAGTACGGAATTTAACATATGGCTGCCCCTGGCCGACAGGAGACAAAGTTGGGATTATATTTTAAATAGTCTTCTACAAAATGGCTTCAGACCACTTGAATCTGAAGTCAACTAACAGAATATTTTTAATCTTTTTGTGGGAAACTCTCTCAGTTCTCTTTCTTAAATTTTAATTCTATTGAAGGTGATGCATACTCCAGGAATGAAATAGATAACATACATTTCTTATACACACACACACACAGACACACAGGCACACTTCCTTCTGATGTGATCTGGGCCCAGATAGTCCCGTGTTTACACTAAGATAGCTTCTCACTGGACAGCTTTCTCTCGTGCAGTCCTTTATCTGCAGGATAACGTAGGCTCAAACTGGCTGTGCTTTAGGCTTATTTACTCATGGTTGAGACCTACATGTTGTTGGAAAGACTTTTGTGAATATTTCTTATCTCTCCGTAGCATCCAAGTCTGAAGACGCCTTCAGCAGATAGCCACACCTGAATTTTTAGATAGTTTAATAATCAGCAAAGCATCTCTTCAAGATTCTGTGCAAAATATACCCATATGTGTGACACAGAGAATGCCTGACTCATCTGTCCCCACAGCAGAAAACGTAACAACTTTCCCAGGGAATCAGCATTTTTAACAATCTGTCCTTGTTTTCTGTTCATAGGAAAACTTCATGATGACCCACAATACTATTCTTATCGCAAAGTAGATTTTCTTTTACTCATTGTTGGCATGCATATGCTTTGGTTAACAACAAAGACAGCATTAATAATGTTGGATCACAGAGTTAGTGCAGATTTGAAACTGAGACAAAAGTATTTTAGAGGATATACTAACAGTTTGAGGATGGCAGTCACATTTCTCACCATTTGCAGTTGTAGGTAACGACATCAGGCCTTCACAGCAGGTAGAGGGCCCTCAACTCTGTTCTTCGTTTCAATTTAAGTAAAAGACTTGGCAACAGCTGGCTGCAGAATAGCCGATACAGAATTCCACAGATGTGGTTCATAATGGTTTGAAGAATAAAAGGAAGTAGGCCATAGAGCAGAATTCATTTAGGGAAAGGCAAATTCAAGGGTCCCTCTTTTGAAAGATTTCCCACGTTGGGGAAGAGGGGGACTGTTTTTCTTATTATCTTTTTTATAATCCTACAGTATGTTAATTACTGAACAGATAGGTTGTGACCTATTAACACCCCACGTTCTTACAACAGCAAAACCATTGACTTTTTCTGCCCCCAAATCTCATTATGTTTCATCATGCATAACTGATTACATGTGCATGTTTATGCAAACTTTCCTAAGAGAACTGAAAATAAAATAAGGGAACCAGCCATATATCTCTTTCACTGTGGGTAGGCTACACACACTTGTAATGAAACTGGGCAGGGAAGAAATACTCAAAGACCTTTACATGAGGTCTCATTTGACACTGACATAATACAGTTTGAAGGAAAGTAGAATTTGGCGTTTAGGACGTTTAATGGTGTTAGAAACAGAACAATAAAGAAAGAAGTGATCGGGATGTGGATGAGTAGTTGTCATAAGAGGTCAAGACGTTTTGTTGATGAGGAAGTCTAGGTACATTTTTTTTTTGGTGACTTTTTCATTGTGGTAATATGTACATAACATAAAATTTACCATTTTAACCATTTTAAGTGTACAGTTCAATAGTGTCAAGTACATTCACAATATTGTACAACCATCACCACCATCCATCTCCAAAACTCTTATCATCCTGTAAAACTGAAACTCCATAACCATTAAACAACTCCCAATTTCCCCTCCCCCAGCCCCAGGCCACCACCCTTCTACTTTCTGTCTTTATGAATTTGACTGCTCTAGGGACTTCACATAAATGGGATCATACAGTATTTGTCCATTTGTGCCTGGCTTATTTCACTTAGCGTGTTTTCAAAGTTCATCCATGCTGTTGCATATAACTAGGTACAATTTTGCCTTCTTTAAAAAAGATGCAGAGGTTATATATAATGGACTTTGCCAATATATAAATGGCAATGCACATTGCCAATATATAAAGAACTTTGCCCAATAAACTGATTAATGAAGTGACTATAAACTCAACACAAACAATCCTCAAGAATTTTTCTTCTTTTACCTAAAATGATCTCCTTATCTGGCTGTCTTTGCTTGTCTTTGCCTGCTTATAAGCTTCAGAGGAAATATTTAATAAAGCCCCAACTGCTTCCCAAATGGAAAGCAGTGCAGCTGTAATTACATGAGGCAAACCTGAAGCCAAATTTGAGTTCAACACTCTCTGGTTAGTATTTTCAGAGCTTACTGATGACTTATAACCAGACTACTTCCCTCTAAAATGGAGGAGCCATATTAAAAACACCAGAAAATTAAAAATTAAAATCAATAAAAAGGAACAGAGAAGGTGATGTATGAGGCTCCCGAGGTGGGTTAATTAATGCGGCCAGGCACTAAGTAACCCCAATCTGCTGGCCCCAAGGATAACCTGTGGTTACGAGAATTTATCTTTCTGAGGACTGAACTGGGACACTTCGGCCTCTGCTGGGCTGCACACAGGCCTTCCTTTTCAGAATGGAGAGAGGTGTGTTAGCGTGCCCCAAACAGATACTAAACCAATGGCACCCAATTAAACTTGGAGGGCCAAAATGGAATTTTTGGAAAAGACAAAGAGTTTGCTCTCTTACTGAGTCACTAAATTGTACTAATTGAGTCACTAAAAGCACACTTCTTTGTGCTTTTATTTTTTACTGCAGCATTGTGGGAACCGTGATCAGTGGACAATGTGGGGAAGTAAGATTAGATTAAACATTAAGTATTAGCCACAACATTTCACAGAATGAAAGTTTAAAGTGTCTCAGATAGGCAGTCATCACTTAAAGCACATGATGACAAAAGTTTAACAGAGTTTTTAAATCCTAATTTTTCACATCTGTATGTTCATTCATTCATCATTCATTCATTCCACACTGACTGCTATAAGCCAGGCACTAGATTAAGCACTAATTTTAAAAATAATATTTATTATATGCTTGTTATGTAGAAAACCTTCCTAGAGCTTCCATTTTGCGTCATTTAG